AGAGAGAGAGAGAGAGAGAGAGAGAGAGAGAGAGAGAGAGAGAGAGAAAGGGAATACGCAAGCGACATCCGACATTGCGCGCGCACGAGTGTCAAACACACATATACATAGCGGCATCGTTAAGATAAGAAACCGGCAGGCGAAGAGTAAAGCAAGTGATCGATTGAAAGCATAGTAATGAAAAGAAGAAAAATCGACGACGATGTTTGTTATAACCAATCTGAAACAAAGAAAGCAAAATACATCATCATCATCATCTGCTCCAACTAGCAAAGATTCTTTCTCTTTTTTCCTCGAAGGACAATAACAGCTATGACAGATATTTATATGTATATGTGCATATATATATATATATATATCTATCTATCTATCTCTATATATATATGCATATACATATACAAACACGAAGTACAGAATAAAGTAACATTACAATTGATGTAGTTAGTTAAGAGATAAAATTCCGCGTTATTTATAGTTTTATAACGAACTCTATCTAATGTTTTCCTACAATCTATTCAATAGCGAATATTCATGAATAAATATATATAGATTTTCCTAGAGTATAATTTAGATTAAGATTATAATACATTTAAAGTTGTAAATTACATCAAAAACAAGATAAAGTACAATACATTAATTACATATATTTATTCACACTGAAAAATATTAGAAATTTATTTAAAAGAAGGAAATATTATCGTAGGATAGTGTAATGTAAATACTATTATCATAAGATAGATCGATGTCAAATGTTAGGGGAAAACGAAAGACTTCGGATAAATATTATGAAAAGATTTCCAATGTAACTTTTCGTCTATCGTTTCACAATACTGATAGAAAAAACATTAGCTAAAACAAATCATAGTTTAATTTAGCATGAATATAATATAGACTTTAAAAATTTGATGATTGATCAATGGTTTTGTTCGTATTATTCATATAAACATAGATTTATTTGTGATATAAGATGATGCAAGTAATAAAAATATTTGTGATACTAAACTTCAATCGTTTCTTTTTGAGGTATATAATCAGACTATTGAATTTAATTATTAATATAAATCTATTCATTCTATTCCAAGGACATTACAACAACTAACAAGCTATTTGATTTTTATTGTATTTGCTTTGAGTGAAAATATTTCAATCTATAGAATTGAAAAGAATCAAGTATATGTAAAGTATATCATATTTATTCATACGATTATAAATATAACTCAATAAATCTACAGATAAACATTTAATCAAATAAAAACTCACGTATTAACTGATGGATATAGTCGAAAATTTGTTATTTGATCAATCAAAATCTTATTCCAAAGACAAAAATATCAGTGTAGAAGCGATGATATGTGATTTAGAAAGTTTCTTATTCATAACTATAGTTGTGCAATATTGATTTATTTTATTAACAAACCTTGAAAAGTATCGTGTCATGTAAGATGATATAGTAGATCTACAATTTTCAAAAGAAGAGTTTTGATTTCATTTTAGATATACTAATGTATTGATATGAATTATAAATTAATAAAAATTAGATGCATTGAATGTCATATATATTTTAATATTTGATATTCAATGTCAAATCATTATAAAATCTTCTTTTGTGTTCAAGTATGTTCTTATTAGATTATATGAATCGATCTATGAATAAGAGCAAAATAAAACTTTCTGGTTAAATCATCAGCTTAAATAAAGTATTTATGAATGGCGTCATTGTCGGAATACTAATAAATGTATCATGCTCATATTCTATTATTTCTGCGTATTAATATTAGAA